GCAAGTACAAGGCCTTTCTCTGCCCTTGGGATGCACATCTACCACCCAGACTGCTTCCTCCAGGGCCTGAGAGGCCTCTCTATTAAGCGCAAACCTTCAGGGAGGCAACCCTGGGTCTCCCTCCCAGTCCTGTGCAAAGATTCCAGCCTCACTTCCGGGAGGGCCTCACTTTAGTCTACACCACGGCCTCCTGTTTCTCCTCCAGATGAGGGGGACTCACACATCCAGGTGGTCGAGCCTCACGGACTAACCACCCCAACTCCGCACCCCACAGGGCTTTCCCTCAGCACAGCCGGGCTTTAGGACAGCCCCAGCCTTTGTTTCAGGGATTCAGGGCCTGTCCACACTGGACAACTCCCTACTGCAATCCTGTTACTGAATAAAACCTGTCCTATGGCTCTAACTGGGGTTGGCTTTGTCTATGTTGGACGAGAAGGAAGTCTTTCTGCACGTTTAGATTCAATCTTAACTCAAGGAGAACCAACTGGCTCTGAATCTCTCCAGAGACACGACTGAGAGCGTGCGTGGAGATTCATGGAAAACTGCGCACCAGGCCCAAGGTGAGAAGCCTCCACCCAGGCCTGACTCGCCTCAACTCCCGAGCTCCCTCCCCGTTCCAGGCTCCTCCGTTTCCATCTGCATAACCGTTACCTCCACAGGCCCTCCCAGCACGGACACTGCAGGATTCTTTCATTGCAAGATGATCAAAGAGTGTTGGGGAGAGGAGTTCTCAGGGCCGTGGCACCCCGGTCACAGCTGGGCCATCCCAGAGAAGGTTTCCATGGAAATGACATCTTGTGAGGGAGGGGACAGATGCCCTGGACTCAGATCGGGCCTTGGAGAAGGACGGACGTCTATGACCAGAGCTGGGAGGGCTGACGGGGAGAGCGGAGAGTCTAAGAGGCTGCACGTGCTCACCGTTGGGATGATCCAGCCAAACTCCTGCTTGTTGATGCCGACGATGTAGGGGACGGTATTGAAATTCTTCTCGGCCAGAATCTCTTCGGGGGTTTTGGGCAGCAGCACGCCATCCAGCACCGTGGGCACGAAGGGGTGACTCTGGGGAAGAGAGCAGGGCAGTGTCTGAGCCTCCCCCTCCCCAGGCAACACCCCCGTGCCCGCTCTGTCTGAGGGTGAGGGCAGCACATGGACCTGTGTGGCCCCAGGCAATGGCCCCAGAAGCTCCTAACAAAGCGGGCAACGTCTGTGTGACCCCAGAGGGCAGAACTTCAACCCGGGGCTGGCAGTGGGAAAGTGGCAAATCTTGACTCAAATCAAAACACATGTGTTACATAATATGTATCAGTGTTATATATTTCAGTCTGAAGCATGCGTGTGTTCTGTAAGTCTGTCTGCGGGAGACCCTGGTCATTCACGGCAGCCGGGTGGTGTCACGCAGAGCTGCGCTGAGTGCCGGATGCGCGAACGCTGAGTCGCCGCTGGAAGGGGAAACGCAGGGCAGGTCCTGGGAGCCTCTGCTCACAGTGTATTAACTTTATTTTGTGTGTGAGTTTCTGTTTAAAGCCTTTTTATGTAACAGATATTTCTTTAAAGAATTGTTCTATGGAGCATTTATTTGTAATAAACACCACCCAGGAAGGCCTTCACTTTCCTGGCCCTGAGTAACATCACTGGAAATATCTTTTGCTTTCACCCCACAGCGGTGCCGTCCGCTGTGCTTTCTACAGAATCCCTCATCGTGTCATGAGTCCGCCAATGTGGCTGCTTTTCCATCCTTGCCGCAGCTCATCACACACGGCAGATTCTCCCACTGTCCACACTGGCCTCAGGTGTTGGGGGGCAGCTTCCTCCCCTCGTACTGGGGGTTCCGTCCTGTTCACTCACCGACTCTGAGCTCTCGGCCACAGCACTACGGTCCATTGCGCAACCGAGCTCGTCTGCCGCGTGTATTTTCCCCGTCACACGCGTCACAGCGTTCCTGAGCTTAGGAACACGAGGCAGCAGTGCAGCACTGCTCTCAGGGACGTTTGAAACAGCGCGATCTCTAACTAACACGAAGCGCAAAATGCAAACACTGCGGCACTACACGGACTGTGGACAGGACGCTTGGTCATAGGAGAGGAAACACAGGAAGACAGAGCATCGGCTCGTTTGATCCCTTTGACACACTGAGGTTTCCAGGGCCTGGGTCTGTTCCGCACAAGCCAATGAGTGA